AGGTGACGTCGTGGGCAGGTAGCCCGTGGGGGACCCTGGAAAGGTGTAGCACCCACCCCCACTCAGCCCAGCGCCGGGAGGCCGGGGCTGGGGCCGGAGGTACGTGGGGCTCAGGTGGATGCTGGAGTCAGGGTACAGGGGCACCCGGCTGCTGTCATAGCCACTGGTGGGGGACAGCCCGGTGTGGTGGTAGCGGGGAGAGGGCAGGTAGCTGGATTTGAAGCCAATTTTGCTGCTGTCTGCATAGGTGGATCCATAGGAGGTGTAGGAGCTGTAGCCGCTGGGCACCTTGCTGTAGGTGGTCTCGGCATAGCGGGAGGAGTCAACGTACCTCTTCAGGGTGGAGGAGAGCTGGGACATGCTGGAGGCTGGGGCTCAGTAAGCTCTCCTGGAGGCATCGACTGCAAGGATAGAGCCCAGGGGTCAGCTTCCACAAGCCACAGTCAGCACCACGGGGCACCCACCAGCAGCACCCACCCAGTCGCTCCTTGCCCCAGGATGCGGGGAAGGGCAGGCAGAAGGGAAGGCAGGGGGTGAAAGGTGGAAGGGAAGCTGTGGGGTGAAGTGTGATCACGGTTCCTGCCACCTGCCAGCCCTCCTGGAGAGCAGGAGCCAGCTGGCACTGCCACCTGTGTGCCTTCAGGCATCTCCTGGCATGGAAAGGAGCCTTGGAGCACAACCAGAGGCACCCAGCATCCCAGCACCCAGAGTCACCAGAGCCAAGGACTGCAGCAGTCACCTCTGTCCCAGCCCTGCCACACCATCCTGTGACTTTGTGCAGCCTGGTCCAGTGCCCATAGCAGGGAGGTTGGAACCTGATGATCTTGAAGGTCCCTTCCAACCTCCACCATTCTATGATTCTACGATTCTATGATTCTATGATTCTGTGATTGATTCTATGATTCTGTGGTTCTATGATTCTATGGTTCTATGGTTCTATGGTTCCATGATTCTATAAGTGCCCCACTCCTGAGGCTGGAGAGGTGTCCCCAGTGCCTCCTCCAGATAGGAGGCAGTTGCCTAATCACACTCATCATGCTTAGGCCCAACTCTGCTGAGATAAGCAGGGAGGATGGACTGATCCAGCCAGCCCAGCACCTTCCTCTGGTTATCCAGATGAAGCATCAGGGCTTGGCAGGGTGCTGGCATTTCCAGCTCACTGCTAACACACATCATGCTTGGCTGAGAGGGAAACTGAGGCAAGCTCAGGAAGTCAGTGCACGAGTCCCTGCCATCCATCCCTGCTCCCCACTTTGGAGCACAGCACCAAGTAGTGGGTGAAGACCTCAGTGCAGCCACGACCACACAGGGGCCCTGGGGAAGCTGTGAGGGGGCTGTCTGGAGCCAGAGGGAATTTTGCTCTGAGCAGCCAGGCTGAAGGGCTGATGTCTGGTTCCCTACCTGTCCCGGGGCTGCTGCTGGCACGGGGGGGGTGGGCAGGACCCCCAGCCGGGCTCCTCTGTCCTGGTGTTGCTGGAGCTCAGCTCCCCGGGCGCCTGGTGTCCCTCCCCTGGCAGGACAGCGTCTCATGTGGCTCCGAGTCGCCAGTCACCCAGGAGATGACCCTGATTCAGAGGCTTTTCCCAGCCCAGCCTGGGCGGGCTCTGGCCCTGCTCCAAGCTGGGAGGTGAGGGAGACCGTGCCTGGCCCGGCCCTGGCACATCCAGGCTTGGGGAAAGGTGCTGGATTCCCGGCGGGAGGATCCAGTGCAGCATCATTCCCTGCCTGACCCTGGAAGGGGCTCAAAGTCCTGATCAGAGCCCAGGAGTCCC